ATAACAAAAGCATTAACGAATTGATTTTACGAGGAGAGCCCGATAAGCAATGGGGGCCATCACTTGGAGTTCAATTGTCCGGATTAGAAACTAATGAAACTTTGGAAAGGTTAAATATAAGTGGAAACTCTATAGGTGGTCCAGATATAAAATTATTAAACGAAGTTTTAAAGCTCAATTCAAGGCTGAAATATCTGAGCATAGACGAAAATATGGTAAGCTTACTTAACATCCATTTCCTTAATGATTACTTATGATAGAGCATTTTACAAATAGTTCATAAAGTATTGTACAATAAATTTATAAACCTTTTTTCCGGAGATTAAAAATTACCTCACGATGAAATTAGATGTAGATGAAATGCTTGTATGATATCCTAACTAAAAATTTTATTTATTTGCCACCACCGCATTACAGGCTCGCGAACTCGCAAATCATGGTTTCCAAGAATACATAGAAGATCTAGACAAAAGATTGTCTTTATCTTCAGATACTTTTGGTGCACGAGACACCTCTACTGAACGTCCAACATTGAAATCTCTGGATGAGAATGGATCTAATAAAGATGTTCTGCATGCTGAAACTATAGAAGAAACTGTAAACGAGACTAAAGTTGAAAATGGAACGCTTCAGAAAGATAATTTAAATTTTTATGAGGCTAATTACATTTAATAACATTCATAAAATATATGTATTATTTATCTATTTTAGTTTCCTACTTAAAACTGTAATGTTTTTATCTATTAATGTTATACTTTTAATGTTATACTTTTAATAATTAATAATTAAAGATGAATCTTTAGAGGATAATATATACAGCTTTATAAAAAAAAACGAATATTATTCACTAGTATCTTAGCCCTATTGATGATTTAAACCTATTTATATTCTATATTCTTTTGACACAATTGATATCACTTTTTTTTTATGAAATAAATTAAGCAATCTCATATATCTATTATGCATTTGATACTAAGTCAAATTTTAATACGTTTCCAACGATACAAAAATATGATATTTCTCAATCGTATTGCTGTGTAATAAGATGAAGTTCGATCTATTCTAGAACATTTTGCATGTGGTGCATTAACGCCTGTAGATCACATTAATCCCTAACGTGACCTAACACTAATCTAACAAATTCTGAAATTGGATAAAATCATGAGGGGGTAAAAATTTTTTGTGGGTGAGCTACCGTACATTCTGGAATAAATGATAAACGATAGGCATCGGTAAAACTCATCGAGCCGGCCGATAATCACAAACTAGGAAACTAGAAACTGATCTATTATAGACAACCAATCAAAATTTAAGATTTGTTACATACATACAGACATGGTTCGTCTGTAGTGTCCTTCGGACAATCA